ATATATCGATCTTCTCACAGCAGATCAGTTGTCCTTATGATCTTCTATAGATCAGTGGACCTCCTGAGAAAAGATCTGTGGGACTTCTGAGTAGTAGAACGTCTGATAAACAAACTATGGATTGTCTTAGAGATTACCAAAGAAAAATCCTGTGTTGATCGACAATTCTTTTCCTAGATTATCTTGTGACCAATAATTCCATATTCGATATGAAATCTTCTATTACTACCCATAACCATTTTCTAATTTCATTTCTCTACTCCCTTCTCCACCCTCGCATCCAAAATAAAATATTTCACTTGTCAAGATTTTCCACTCTGTTACACCAACTTTCTTTGATGCCAGTTTGCTATTTTTCCAAAAAGAAAAAAAAAAGATGTGTACATTCGTCGAATTCTCCTCTTTTTGTTTCAATTTGTAGGTGATGATGTGTAAAAGGGAATGTCAATTGCATTTCTTTTGGAGAAAAAAAAACAAAACAACAAAAAAAAACACAAAAAAACAACACATTCTCTTTTGCAACAGTGCAACAGATTCCTTTGCAACACATAAAACGGGTCAAGTGGAATTACGTCTTTTTTGTGTCAACCTAGAATATTTAAGAAGGAAAAATGATTTGAAAAAAAAAAAATCAACAAAAAAAGAAACCGATGTGTTGGAAAAGTGAAAATGTATTGGAATGTGCCAAAAGTGAAACAAAGTTGTTTTCTTCATTTGTAAAGGTAATGATGTTGGAAAAGTTAATAGATAATAATGTGAGGTTTTTGAGTTCTTCAAGTGTGCAAAATTAGGAATCTTTGGAAAAGAAAGTCAGATGAAGTATAAGGAGTCTAGAGGATGTAATTGCATTTTTATACCCTCCACCTTGGAAAGGAGGATATATTAACTTTGTCATTCCGTTTGTAACATCCTTAAATATTCGTCTTAGACCCCATAAAGTATTTATATTCATAATCAGCATAAAATTCTAAGTCGATTTAACGATGTCCGTCTGTCCGTCTGTCTGTCTGTCTGTCTGTCCGTCTGTCTGTCTGTTGAAATCACGATACAGCCCACATTATTTGACGTAGAGCGCCAAAATTTAGCAGAGCTATTTGCATTGTGTCTAGGATGGTTGGTATTGAAAATGAGATATATCGGTCCACGTTCTGGTATAGTCCCCATATAACGGTACATCCCGATATTCGGTATTTTGATGATTTATGCCACATTTTTTCACGGATTTGTCTGGAAATTGGTATTTGTAGGTCATAACGGGTCCCTGAGCGTGTGGCAAAACATTGCATATATAGGTCCACGTTGTGGTATAGCCCCCATATAAAGGTACCTCCCGATATTCGGTATTTTAGTTTTTTTTTGCCACATTTTTTTACGGATTTGTCTAAAAATTGGTATTTGTGGGTCATAATGGTTTCCAGCTCCGGTGGCGAAACATTGCATGTATGGGTCCATGATTTGGTATAGCCCCCATATAACGGTACCTCCCGATATTCGGTAATTTGATGATTTTTGCAACCTTTTTTCACGGATTTGTCTGAAAATTGGTATTTGTGGGTCATAATGGGTCCTGGTTCGTGTAGCGAAACATTGTAATTATAGGTCCACGTTTTGGTGTAGCCCCTATATAACGGTACCTGCCGATATTCGGCATTTTAATGGTTTTTGCCAAATTTCTTCTAATGTTTCTTTTACCCTAAGGTGGAGGGTATTAAAAGTTTGGCCCGGCCGAACTTAATGTTTTTTTACTTGTTTAACGAAAAATTGGTATAAGATTATATTTTGTTTACTATAAAAAATTAATATTTTTTGTTGTCTTTATTACCTAAAATATTTCAATATTTTATCTCTTTGTTTCCTCTCATCCCAATAAATCTTTGCCATTTTTTAGAGCGAGATTTTTCCATCTTTTTCCAAAGACAGCTCTCAAAATTGTTTGCAGTTGCAAAAAAAAAAAAAAGAAACTACAACAAAAGCACAATCATTTTAACGATGATTGATTGAGTAATCGATGGATTGATGGCTCTATTTAAACGTTTGATGTTGTAGTAGTTGCTGCCGCTGCTGCTGCTGCAGGGAGAATATGGCCGAAATTGATAGAAGGATTTGTTGAGATGGAAAATTTGCATGTTCTTCTCCCCACTGGAGAGGGGTGATAGAGAGAATATTCTTTCTTTGAAAATTTATGCTAATTAATTGAAATGATTTTGTTTTGTTTACCCCATTTGGTTTTCAGAGTTCGTTTTATATTCTATGGCTGATAAGCACATGAAGACAAACATATGTATGTGTTTCTATATGAGTAAATACATGTGTGTGTATTTTGCAAAATTGATTAGATGTTTAGATTTAAATTTGCAATTAGATTGACACTGAATTCAAACAGGGGTTTTTCTTTATCAATAAGATGTTAGTATTGAATAGTGGGATGGTATTCAATGGATTAGTTTGTTATAGAAGATGTGTTCAATACTTTTTCTGTAATTAAGATTTGGAATTTTTATAAAATTTTATTTAAAAACAGACTGCAGTTTTTTTCTCTCTTGTTTTTGTTCAATGGCAGTAAACTTAATAGGTTTTACACTGTCTTCGTTTGGGTTTCTTTGAATTTCAAATCACAATAAGTTACTTAGATCGCAACGTTTATGGGCAGATGGGCTTACTAGTTAACCTTATAAAAGTCTTGATCTCCATGCTTTCTTTTATTAATGTTTCCATATCAAATTTGCATAATTCAAATATTATATATTCTAATTACCTTATTACATTTCCAGTCTCAGACCTATATATTATTCAAAAGTAAAAAAAAAAAAGTTGGCTTCCTTATTCATCAAACTTCCGTTTTTATTCAAATTATTTGAAAACCTGTTGCAATATTTCATGACAAATTTTAATCACCTGCTGAAATTGTATACTTCTTTTACCTGATATACTAAATTTTTTTGGCGTAGTGGGAAGGTCTTCCGTTGGATAATGGATGTTAATGTTTCAATACAGAGGTCATGGAAAGATTTTAAAATAAATTCTAAAGGATTTTAAAAAATGTTCGCTTGATGAACTCTTTTCAGGGGTCTTAACAGCTGATATTTGCTCTCCACTAGTATTAATCGACCGTGACAGCTAACTAAATACAGAATATTATAACGAAAATATTCTGGAGGTTGTATTAAAGCCTTGGGCACGCAAAGATTTTGGCCGCAGACCTTGGACATTCCAACAGGACTCAGCACCATCGCACTCAGCACGCGCCACCCAAGAACGGTTACAAAATGAGGTTCCTCGCTTCATTTTCAGCGCACAATGGCCACCAAAATCTCCGAATACCAATCCACTGGAATATTGTGTCTGGGGTATTTTGGAAAGTAAGTGTCGATCACCCCAAGCAAGTGCTTCCCAGGAAATGGGCGTGTGACGGTTTCATTGCCGTTTGAAGGCCATAATTCGTACCAAAGATGACCAATTCGAACAAATCTAAACTTATTCTAAAATTTGATGCTATTTCCGACATTTTTGCTTTCATTTAATAAAGTTTAAAAAAAATATATAAAAATTATAGTCAAACGCCATTTGGTGCAGCTTTTTATCCCACCCTCTAATTTGTCTATTCTTGAGGGGAGGCTTTCAAAATATATATTGGAGATCTTCGACAGATATTTTACCGAATACAGAGCTTATATATATAGAAGCTCTGCGAAATTATTTTATAGGCAAAACCCCTTCCAAATGGGCTTACAGAGATAAAGTGTCTTCTAGAGTTATGGAACCTTAAAGTGGGGATTTAAATGATGTTCTTCAAACGTTGCTTATGGCTTTGTCACCTTTGTCATATGTTCTGCAGAGAGGAGAGTCTCTAAAGTATTCTATAGATACAGGACCTTCTAAATGTCTAATATATCATTTTCTAAGTAGAAAACTGTCAAGGAGTTTCTAAAAATAGATGACCCTCTGGAGGTATTATATATTGAAGGCCTCCACAAAGACGTCTATAGCAGAAAAACTCTCTAAGTCCATCCCAAAAAGAAGGATTTAAAACGAATTGTGTGAAAATAACACATTCTCGAAGCCTATGGAAAGGAGACCTTCTAAATACAAATTGAAGATCTTTAAAATATAGAGACTCAATCCTATATAGATCCCCACAGGTAGAAGGCCTTCTACAGATAGAAGAACCTTAAATGTTTTTTTTTTTAAAGAAAGAAGACTTTCAAAAAAACATTCGGAGATAGGATTTCTTTTAGAAGCAGGAGACCGTGAAAACTTCTTACAGTGGGTATATGTATAGGGGGTAGAAAACTGTCAAAGGTGGTAGAAACCTGTTGAAGGGTCTCCTATAGTTAGAAGACCTCCAAATGGTTTTCTAAGGACAGATGACCTTCCAAAGACCATTTAGGGTACATTTTGCCTTCAAAGTTTCGAAAAGGCTTTAATAATAGAAGACCTTCAAAATGTCTTCTATGGGTAAAAGACCAAAAAAAATAGTTCCTATGCATTTTTAAAGATCTTCCATTCTATAGATAGAAAAACCCTAAAATGTATGACCATAACCTTACTTTTCAGACAATTGGCATTGTAATTTGTTTTAATTTTTCTCATGGCGAAGGGTACAAAAAGTCAGACCCGACCCCAACTTAACTTCGTTTTTATTTATTTTCTATCAGACATTCATCGCGAACCGGAAAAAAGCTGCTGCATTATTTCTGCACTGGACCAGTTTATTTTCGCCTATCTAAAATGAAGCAGCGCGGATATGGTTGCTTTTGTGAGTATTTTTAAGCTTCTACATGGTATCACTGATAAAGTGAGTCTTTGCCAAAAAATTTGGCTTGTATTTAATTTCGGCACTTTTAAGCTGCTACGTCATTAAGTAATTCCCGCTTATCTGCCGAATAAATGGAACAGCGTTCATAAACTTTTTAAATATTTTTTTTTTTATTTTTTAATAGATTTCAATACGTCTTGGCTACTTAAACAATCCGGAATATACACAAAATGTTTCCAGTTGGCAGACTAATTATTTAATTTGAAAATTAGAACCGGCACCAGAACTAGTTTTTATAACTAAAGAAAGGGTGATTTCGCCAAATCATGCAGAATTTGGGAATCATGTTATCAGTTTCAAATTTTTGCTTGAAGAGATCGCTTAGGGAGATAAACGCCATACGTACATTGTGTAGGTATTTTGTTAGACAATTTTTTTGCAATATTTAATTTATTTGACTATTCCAAATGGGTATACTTCCCCACCCAAACCTTTTGCTCGTGTGACGTTTTCAATAAAGAAATAAAAATAAGCCTTTAAGTTCATTCCGTCAGTCATCCCTTTCAATTGAAACGGTACAGACATTCTTTTTGGCGCGCCAGCAGTTACAAACTCACTAACGCTAACGAAATGATATTAATCAAGACAAGTTTAATAATTTTATTATTATGCATAGCCGCTGTGTTTTGTGCCCCCTCCGATTCGGACAAAATGAAGGAGATACGCAAATTACCGGAAGTTCATGGCGAAAAATTCTATTATTTTGGATTTGGCAGTAATATGTTGACCAAACGCATTCACATACAAAATCCAACGGCAGTGAAAATTGGACCGGGGAAATTGGAGGTAAGTTGGAGGAGGGGAGAGAAAAATGGGTATAAAAAATGGGGTTTGAAATGTTGGATTCTGTCTCTCATTCTGTGTTTTGTGGTAATTTTTGTCATTAAAATCTCAGGGAATGGTTTACTGGAGCTTTACAAATATTGAGAAAAGTGTCCTGAATTGACAATTATTGCTATGTTCCAGAACCTGCAAGAATCTACTAGTTTTGCATTTTTTTTTTTTTTGATATCATAAAGGAAAGGGAATTAAGTTTATCCCAGATCTGGAGCAGACCATATATCTGCACCAATTATATCTCCCTACAATCTAAGTATCTATTCGGCTAAGGGCCATCTCAGCCCATTCCTTAATGAAAAAAAAAAAACAAATTACGTTATCCTCCCCATTTGTCTTTACAAAAATTTTATTTTCTGTTACAGAACTATCGCTTGGATTTCAATGATTACTCTGGAAACTGGGATGGAGCCCCAGCCACAATTGTGCCACATGAAAATCGGACCGTTTGGGGTACAGTGTGGGAAATCGATTTGTCCAATCTGGATGACATTGATCAGTGAGTGGATATTGACTTTCTTAGTATCTTTATATACTCATCTCTCATTCTCTCCCTCTCTTTCCCCTCCAGCCAAGAAGGCGTCCACGAGGGCATGTACGAGGCTAAAAGTGTACCAGTAACCTTGAAATCAAACAACGAAGTTATCATGTCACGAGCCTATCTATTAACAGAACAACCTGAAAGTGATTTTGAAGCAATGTCAATGCAAGAGATTCCTGCCAAGAGATTGCCCTCCAAAACGTACATCCAGTGTTTGGTGAAAGGTGCCGTAGAATCGGAAATTGATGGTGAATATGTGGAATGGCTGAAGTCCTTGAAGCATAATGGCAAGGTGGCTGAGAAAATGTCAAATTATTTGGAATTAGCAAATATTGAATTGAAATCGTAGGAGTATTAAAACTGTTTGGTGGATAGTGAAATAAATCGTATGTTGTGATCGATCGAAACCGGTGTTATATTTTCCATATTCTGGGGATGTTATTCTATCCACTGAAGACATGAAAAAGGTCCTCCACTCATTTTATCTTAAAAATAACATCAAAATGCTGTCTTGTCAATAGAAGTACTCTGAAACGACTTCTGTATACAGAACACCTGCGGAGAAACTCTAAAAGGTATCCACCCTACGGAAGCTCTCTGATGAGTTATTTGGCCTCAAGAAGATCTGAGGAAGTCCAATGTAAAGCAATAGTTCTAAGAAAATATATGAAGGTCTCTAATCTACCAAAGACCACTGGAAAATTCTTCATCTACAGAATACACAGAACGCAGGATAATCTTCCATCTGTATAAACGCTTGGATAGTATTCTATCCATTTTTTTTTTTAATTTTATTGAATGAAAATAAAAAATGTCGGAAATAGCATCAAATTTTAGAATAAGATTAGAATAACTTTGGTCACCAATCGGCCAATGAAACCGTCACACGCTGCCCGAATGTTGCTCTGCGGTATTTTGGCCCATTCCCGGCGAAACGCTTGCTTGAGGTGATCGACACTTTGGTATTTTTTAGTGCCAACCTTGCTTTCCAAAATACTCCAGACACAATAGTCCAACGGATTGGTATCCGGAGGTTTTGGTGGCCACTGTGCGCTGGAAATGAAGCGAGGAACCTCATTTTGTAATCATTCTTGGGTGGCGCATGCTGAGTCCTGTTGGAATGTCCAAGGCCAAAATGTTTGCTTGGGCCTTTAATACACCCTCCAGAATATTTTCGAGATAATATTCGGCATTTATTCCATTTATTCTGATGCCATGGTCGATTAATACGAGCGGAGAGTGATCATCGGCTGTTATGGAGGCCCACACCCACACCATCACCATGGCCGGCGCTTGAGTCCTGGTTGTGAACCGAAGGTGCACATTTTCAGCTGACCTCTTTGGAATCATTTTGTTTGTTTACAAACTGCTGGACAACGAATGTTTTCTCATCGGAGGCGGAGAAACCCAAATTCGGCAGTTCATCACGTTCACCCAGAGAAGCAACTCTTTAGCTCTTTTCAGTCTATTTTCTTTCTGTTGCTGTGTAAGTTCTTGCACTGTTTGGAATTTCAATGACTTTACCCTGAGCTCATTTTTAAATATTTGCGGAATGGAATATTGCGGTATATTCAACTCATGAGCCATTTTTCGGCCACTGCGACGCGGTTTTCGATCAAGTCGCTTCTTTACTTTTCGAACCATTTCTGCTGATATTGCTGTTTTCTTCCGTCAACTTCCTTGACGTCGGGCTACACTACCAGCATCACGGTAACGAGCGATGGTACGAGACACAAAATATTTATTCACATTTAAATGCTGGAGTCCTCTAACGATAGCCACTTGTGGTTTTCCAGCCAAATATAAAGAAATCACACTATCACGCTTGAATTCCACGACGAATAACTTTTTTTCTGGAAAATTCTCACCAAATTGCTTTTGTACGTTTGTAAACAATATAATGAGTTGTCACTGGAAAAATTTTAACAGCTGTCGGATGAGTGACGTAGAAATAACAGTAGTCAGTCTGGTTGCAGTTATTTCATCTTACCCTGTATTTCTTAGGCCAAACTCTTTTAAGCATTTATATATGCTTGACCCTAATATTTTGAGATATATTCTGCAACTTTTTAGAGAGAGCTCTGAAAATTGATAGAGAGTTTTGGGTCATCTTGACCGAATTTTTAGTAAAGTCACTATATGAGACTCAGAATTCAATATTTTTTAGTTTTAGTCACAATTTTCCCTTTTTACCACATTTTGGTATTTTTGGATTTTTCCATGTGTCGTTGGTTTTTAAAATGGGTCATTTTGATCCACTTTTTAATAAAGTTCTTATATGAGGGTAGACCCAGATTTCAATATGTTTTCGTTTTAGTCACAATTTCCCTTTTTCACCACTTTTCGGTATTTTAAGTTCTTATTCTGTAAAAACGCTCCTACCAAAAATAATATCAATATGGGTGCAAGTTTTGGCACATCCCTAATATAAAGAGTACCTATAGATACCATAAAGATGGAAATTCCGGGGTCTTGGCCAAATTCACGAATTCCAAGGAATCTCATACCTAAAATTTCAAAAAGTGTTGAACATGTGAGGTGTAAACTTACTACCTCTACTTAGACCTTTCAAAGCACCGATAAATGTGTCTGCTTTTAGCTCTATTTTCATGTTCCACTGAATTTGTCCAGTTATTGTTCTTTTCACACACACTCGTATTTATAATGACAATACCGTTTGTTGTTTAAATGCATTGGTTTGTTTGTATATGGGTGTGAAAAATGGCTGTGGTTGCCATTTCGTTGGAATATTGCGGAACATTTTGAATTGAGATTTTCAAAAGCTTCCTAGTATAGATGAGGACGTATAAATACGAGTGAGTGAGGATATATAAATTCAAGTGAATTGAATTGAGCTTCAAATCTTCAGTGTGAACCGTGTTAAGAGGCCATGTGTGAATTTGAAAATAATCTAAAGAAACCATCGTTTTATTTGGAATAACTCGCATCAGGAAATAAAAACTGTCTAGGTTAAGTCCGAATTTTGTAAGAATATTAAAAAGAAAATATTTTTAATTTCATGTTTTTCGGAGCATGAAAGTGTTTTCTTTTTCATTTAAAATCTTATAACACTTATTCCAACTATAAATGGCATCAAAAACTTTTCCAGTTAAAGATTGATTTTTTTTAATTTTATCTTTCCAGTATTTGGTTAAATAATACTTTAAAAGTTATCACATTGTATCTTTGGTTCGTGAGATTACATTTTTTCCTCAACTAAGTTATACAATTCAATACCATCCAGTTCCAGCTCAAATTCAAAACGTTCAGCAGTATTACCATTGTGGGGTATATGCATTAACCAATCGACGTATTCGAAGGGTATTTCACTTTCAATTGCTCCCTTGACCAAACTTTTCAGGTATGTCGACGAAGCTAAACGATCCTGGGGTATTTCATTGGTCGACAGTGAATGTAAATTTGTGTCCGGTTGTTCAACCAATTGATAGGCTCGACATTCCACCATGGTGTCCAGAGGAGGGCAATAGACCGAAACTGTAATGGGAGTGTAGATACCCTGATGGACACCTTCTTGACTGCAAAAAATGGATTTTTAAATGGTCTTCTTTCATGAATTTAGAGATTTTTATACTTATCCAAATGTTCCTTATCCGATTCATCCAACTCCCATATGGCCCCCCAAACATGCTCTCCCTTGTTGGCTACTATTGTGGCACAGGCTCCATACCATCTGTCCGTGAACAGATTGAAATCCAAGCGGAAATTCTAAAATAAATTTTTATTTAAAATTTGTTTACGATTCCATTTTTATACCCTCCAATATAGCATGGAGGGTACATTAATTTTGTCATTTCGTTTGTAACATATCGAAATTTTAAAAATTTTAATTTTTTTTAATTTTTAAATTTTAGACCCCACAAAATATATATATTCTGGATCAGCATAAAATTCTATGTCGCTTTAGCAATGTCCGTCCGTCTGTGGAAATCACTCTAGCTTCCGAACGAAATAAAGTAAATTGATCAAAATTTATTCAAATGTGTATTATGTCTGCTTTTGGTATCGAAAATGGGCCATGTAGGTCCACGTATTCCTATAGCCCCCATATAACTGTACCTCCCGATATTCGGTATTTTGATTATTTTAGCGACAATATACATCGGAATTGTTTCGAATTTGATATCTGAAGTGCGAAATGGATACTGAAGCCTAAGACAGAAAATTTTCTGTTCAGGTCCAGCCCCCATATAACGGTACCTCCCGATATTCGGTATTTTGATGATTATAGAGACATTATTCACCGGAACTATTTCAAATTAGGTATTTAAAATTCGTAATGGATACTACAGCCTATGACAGACAATAACCCGTGCGTGTCCACGTCTTCGTATAGCCCCCATATAACAATACCTCCCGATATTCGGTATTTTGATGATTTTAGCGATATTTTTTACCGGAATTATTTCAAATTTTGTATTTGAAGTTCGTAATGGATACAACAGCCTATGCCAGAAAATTATCTGTACAGGTCCACGTTTTGTAACCCCCATGGTACCTCCCTATATTCGGTATTTTGATGATTTTAGCAACATTATAAACAGATTTTTTTTTTTTATTTTCGCATTTGAATATTTTAATAGCTTATGACAGAAGATGCCTATGTACGTCGTCGTATAGACCCTAATATACGGCTACATTCGGTATTTTTAAGATTTTAGCCGGATTTTAACCTTTTTTTTTAAAAATTGCCAAATTTGTACCAAATGGTGAAGGGTATACAAAGTTCGGCCCGGCCGAACTTACAGCTTTTTACTTGTTTCACCAAAACTCACCTCCAATTTACCGGGACCAATTCGCACGGCCGTAGGATTTTGTAGGTGTAAACGTTTACTCAGCATATTACTGCCGAACCCAAAGTAATAAAACTTGGCAGCCATGGCAGAGATGGATGTCTGAACTAAAATCACGTATAACAAAAAGTTCATTTTACTTAAATAAAAGCTTGGAATGAAAGCTTTTTGTTCAACCACAGCTGTTGGTTATTTTATTTGTTTTTTTTTTTTTAATTTGTTGTTGTTATATCATTATAAATAACAACAACTGAGTAATTTACTCTTTACTTAATTTTTGTGATTATTTCTTATCAACAAAAACGGGGGAAAAAAAACAACAACTGCACAAACAAATTGATGGTCGGCACTTTTGTTGGCAAATAAGTTGTGTTCATATGAAAATACGCTAATGAATTGTTAGATGATTATTATTTTATTAAAAATTCTGTATTATTATTTTATTGTTAATATTTTACTTATTTAATTTTAACACTTTTCTCCTTTTTTGTTTTTGTTTATTTTAATGACTCTCGGGTCACACCTTAAAATGTTTGCTCACAAATAAACCGCTTGGCTATGACTTTTGAACGCTAATTAATTTTTTGTTGAACCTAAGCAAAGCACCACAAACTTGGATGTCATTTGTCAGAGGCGATAAGCAATGATGGATCTGCGAAAAAAATGTGTTGTCAACTGGTGAAAAGGCAAAAAAAAAGTTGTCAAATTTATTTTCTTTCTATTAGCTCTTTATCTTAGCAACTTATCGCTTCTGCTGGTTTAAGCCAACTGCAGGCGCTAAGCGAATTTGCAGACAATTTTAAGGGCAAAGATAACACGATTTCATATGAATATTATTTTCGTCTCATAACTAAATCTGGCACAAGATTAAACGAGCCAAGCAAAGGAATATATGTCATGATTATGCTTCCGCAATAATCTGTCACTGTAAGGGAATTAATAAGTGTTACAATCTTTATATATATTTTTATCAGTTTATTCTGGTGCATATTGACGTATGTATTTTGTTGGGAGAATGTTATATTTTGGGGCTGTTATATTTTGGTGAATGAAAGCGAAAGTTTATTGCTCTCCAGCTAGAGATATTGATAACTACAAATATTGATTACACTGTGCAACAAAATACAAACATAATTCCTGAGGGTTTCAAAATACATATTTGGGATGAGGTAAACATGTATATACAGGGTTGCCCATATTCGACGGACCCATCTGGCAACGCCATAACTTTTGACAGAGATGTCACATCGCGTTTGAAGCGTCAGTCCAAGCAGATTTTTACCATGAACCAATACACGCCACGCGAGCGCTCTGAAATCGTTGAAATTTACATTCAACAGAAGAAGCGTTTATACGAAAAATTTTCGACTGGTAAGGCTCTTTCTAATCCGAAGAGGCCATATAAAAGTCGACCAAGGCGATCGGCCGGGAATATCGCTGCCGTACGAGCCAGAGGTCCCCAAGAACATCCCAAAAACGCCGTTCTCAGCAGTTGGGCATGGCTCGGTCCACTTTACAACGGATTATTCGCATTGATTTGCATTTGTTCCCGTACAAAATTCAATTGACGCAAAGAATGTTGCCTGCGGACAAGCCTCGTCAATTGGAATGGGCCCAAAGAGTCATCGAAAAAAATATGGGTCCGTCGAATATGGGCAACCCTGTACAGGGTGAGATAAAAAATCTGATATTAAAATTCACAATTCAAATTTTAGAATAAGTTTATGATTTGTCACCTTTGGCACCGCCAATGAAACCGTCACACGCTGCCCGAATATTGCTCTGCGGTATTTTGGCAGATTCCCGGCGCAGCGCTTGCTTGAGGTGATCGACACTTTGGCATTTTTTAGTGCCACCCCTGATTTCGAAAATACTGCATACACAATAGTACAACGCATTGGTATCCTGAGATTTTGGTGGCCGTTGCGAGTGCGATGGTGCTGAGTCCTGTTAAAATGTCCAAGGTCTGCGGCCAAAATGTTTGCATGCCCAAGGCTTTAATACACCCTCCAGAATATTCTCGCGACAATATTCGGCAGTTATTTCGATGCCACGGTCGATTAATACGAGCGGAGAGCGACCATCGGCTGTTGTGGCGGCCCACACTATCACCATGGCCGGCGTTTGAGTTCTGGTGGTCAACCGAAAGTGCAAATTTTCAACTGACCTCTTTGGCAAGTAAACACGATCATTTTGTTTGTTTACAAACTGCTGGACAACAAAAGTTTTCTAATCTGAGAAAACCAAATTCGGCAGTTCACTACTTTCGGTCAAGCAAAGCAACTCTTTAGCTCTTTTGAGTCTATTTTCTTTCTGTTGCGGTGTAAGTTCTTACACTTTTTGGAATTTCAATGGCTTTAGCCGGAGCTCATTTTTCAATATTTGCCGAATAGAATATTGCGATATATTCTGCTCACGATCCATTTTTCGGGCACTGCGACGCGGGTTTCGATCAAGTCGCTTCTTTACTTTTCGAACCATTTCTGCTGATGTTGCTGTTTTCTTCCGCCCACTTCCTTGACGTCAAGCTACGCTACCAGTATCACAGCAACGAGCTATGGTACAAGACACAAAAGATTTATTCACATTTAAATGCTGGAGTGCTCTAACGATAGCCGCCTGTGGTTTTCTCAAAAGAGCTAAAGAGTTGCTTCGCATTGCCGAAAGTGGTGAATTGCCAAATTTTGCGTTCTCCGATAAGAAAACATTCGTTGTCCATTAGTTTGTAAACAAACAAAATGATCGTGTTTACTTGCCAAAGAGGTCCGCTGAAAATGTGCACCTTCAGTTGGCCACCAGAACTCAAGCGCCGAGCGCCGGCCATGACATGGACCTGCATAGGTAACATTTATCATTAGCCATTACAATATTCAAATGCGAAACTAAAAAAAACGTTAATAATGAAGTTAAAATCATCAAAGTGCCGAATATCGCGAGGTTCCGTTATATGGTGGCTATACGAAGACGTAGACCTGCATAGACAATTTTCTGTTTTAGGCTGTACTATCCATTATGAACTTCAGGTACCAAAATTTGAGACAATTCCGGTGAATAATGTCGCTAAAATCATCAAAATACCGAATATCGGAAGGAACCGGTATATGGTGGCTATACGAAGACGTGGACCTGCATAGACAATTTTCTGTCTTAGGCTGTAGTATCCATTGCGAACTTCAAATACCAAATTCGAAACAGTTCCGGTGAATAATGTCGCTAAAATCATCAAAATACCGAATATTGGGAGGTACAGTTATGTGGGGGCTATATGAAAACGTGGTCCTACATGGCCCATTTTCAATTCCAAAAGTCCTGCAGACATAACATATATTTGAGTATAATTTCATAAATCTACAAAATTCGTTCGGAAGCTAGAGTGATTTCCACAGACGGACAGACGAACGGACATCGCTAAATCGACATAGAATTTTATGCTGATCGAGAATATATATACTTTGTGGGGTCTAAAATGTAAAAATTATGGCGTTTGACTTCGTTGCATTTTTTTTATTTCACCCTACATGCGTATATTGTGACAATGAGATGTTGTGGGATGCTGAGTTTAGAAAAAATATAAACAATGGATATAACAATATTTTCCAATGTTGGCATGTTTTTATGGATTTTTTTTGTCTCTATTTCCCTTTGAAACGGACCTACCTTTCAGCTCGAGCCACGGTTGGGACTATTGGTTGCTATTTTTGTCCTTATAAATTGACTTTTGTCAAGAGAGGAAACGCAGTCCGGTTTCTGTCTTAAGAGATTGGAAGATATTGTTTTCCATCCCTGTATGACTTTAATTTAGCTAATCTCCTATTTGTCAGTTGAGTCACCCTGTTTTATAAGTGCCGTAATCCATTTCACAAACTAAATGTATTGGACTCACTTTGACATGAAAAAAGAAGGTTGGCAACATTCTTAGATAATATATCTTGATTCAAAATACGTGATTATTTTGGTGGTGGCAACGCAAGCAATGTGTATTTATTTATCCAGATATGAACCAAACAAAGAGAAAATTTTTTAGATAAATTCAATGATGCCATATCGCACAATAGTTATCCGTGGACTGTGGGTTCTAGGTATGGTTCGCGAACTCACTAGTTATTGTGAAATGCGTATGAAACACTTAGTAAAGACACCAACACTCAATAATATACATTAACAGGGTGGACATTAGATTCATTTGTCATAAATAATACTGAGTAAAGATGGGCCGAAAATGTCTAGCAGTCAGCGATTGGCCGGTAAGAACCTTGCTGAGATTTACAATTACAATAAAAACCTATAAAGCGAAAATTTCTGGAAAGAAGTGGTACTCGAAAATTCAACTGTATTTACTTTGTTGGGATAAACAATTTAGAGAGTAAGGACTGCAGGATAGACCATACCAAACATGGTGCCTTAAAATCTTCATCTTACACATAATTTTCTTGAGGCAATTTTATTCCAATTAAATTAGATATTTGAGATCTCCTTTGTACATTGAAGCTGTAAATGGATATGTATATTTAGTTCTTGTTCTTTGCTATCTGGCCCATCGCATGAGGTATTTAGAATAAGACCAAGACAAGTTAAACAGCTTTGAATTTGTTCCAAATTTTGCTTCATTGGTTTAAAATTGTAGCCTCAGAAAAATTAGATCTCTGCTATAGAATATAATTTTCTTAGAAACAAGTAATTGTTTTATGTTGACGTAGCCAGTAATTAACTGACCCTTTACCGTACTTCCTAATACCCACACGAGAATTGTTAATAATGCGTTAAATATTTTCTCATTCTCCATCCTCTACAAATATGTTCCACAAAAAACTGCAGCAGCAGGAAAACATAAGAAACAATTTTGTGTTTGCCTTTACTCTTCTGAGCAATTAAATTGTAATTTACTTGTCTTACTTAACTTGGACAAAAGAACTTTGAACTTGGCTGGACCTCAAGGTATCTTTTGGTCTTTTGGCCATCAACGTAAGAATAAGTTTTGCGAACAAAGTTTGAATTCAGTTTTCAGTTTTTTTTTTTTTTTTTTTTTTTTTGCTTTGCATACAAATGCTTATTAATTTAAATTTAGCACTCTATGGCCATAAGAAGTGAAGAGTTGCTGGGGAAATGCAATGTTGACTTTTTGCCAAACTCATTCTGGGAAGAGAAAAATAGAAAAAATGGTAACTACTTTTCATAATTTTTGTGTAGAAGTGGCGTTGTTGTTGTTGTTGCTCTTTTGCAGAAGAAATCGACAAGTAGCCAAGTGTTAATTTTCTTTGGAGTTTAAGTAGAAGATATAGTTTTTCATGCCATGGTTTTGTATTCGTAACATCTTAACAACACTCCGAGGAGTTTTGTATTTTTTACAAAAGCAAAACTTTGAACATTGTTGTTACTTTTCCTTACTTCCTTCGCTTACGTTTACTTGGAGTTGTAAACTGCACTTGACCTGTGAGACCAAAAGGGGCACAATGGCGAGACGAAACTTACCAGAATGTGGAATATAATGCATTTGGCTATAATAAAAATGTTCAAAGTGTTAGAATGCAATTTCCAAGTTTGCATAAATATTTGTTTGGCATTTTGGATTTTGCGTTCGATACGGAAAATGCCAAAGGAAAGTGTACAAAGTAATAAAAGTTTTGAGAAATTTAAAATGTATTGTCATTCCTCTAAATGTATTCTAAGATATAATAAAATCTAAAAAAATAAATATTTAATAAAAAAATATCAATTTTTAATTGTCCTCGCAATATAAAGGACATATTTGGCATTTGGTGAAATCATCGAATCACTTATTAAAATAA